CACTGGTTTACTAACTGCATGATCGGCAGTTCAAACCCACCAGCTGCTCTGCCAGAGAAAGATGAGACTGTTCCCATCAAGATTTACAGCCTTGGAAAACCTACTGTATGGGGTTGCTGTCAATCGGAATTGACCCAGTGGCAGTGGGTTTAACCCTGAGTTGTTAGGGTTCGAGAGAGAAAATGTCACGTACATAGCTAGTGTTAGAGATGGAGAGGTGGGAAAGCAGGAATATGAATTATCTTTGCATTTTCAGGATTGACCTTGTGCCAGTTATTATTAATGCAATGGATAAATGGAATAGGGAGTCCTGGTGTGGTGCTGTGGGTTAATGCACTAGACTGCAAAGTAGGTTAGAACCTCAACGTTGGCGGTTCAAGCTCACCAGCTGCTCTTCGGAAACCCTATACAGGGTCGCTATAGGTCAGAAAAGGAGCTCTGGTACCATAGAGGTTATGAGTTGGGCGTTAGCAGTTTGAAACTACCAGCTGTTCCGCAGGGAAAAAGATGAGGGTTTCTGCTTCCGTAAAGATTTACAGTCTTGGAAACCTTATACAGGGTCGCTATGGGTCAGAACTGATTTGATGGCACTTGACAACATCAACAACAGGGGATGACAGGTGGGGGAGTAGACTTTGGATTTGGTTCACTGCAGTCTCTGGCTAACCTAGGATTGAGGATGGAGAAGTCAGGATGGAAGGAGTGGCAGCATGTACTGGCCACCCCTTGGTAAAGATAGGCAGGACTTGTGGGAGAGAAAGCGGAAGAGGGTAGCTGGAGTTAGGTAAAGCCTTTCCCCAAAGCACACTCATGAGCCCGTGTCTTTCCTTTGAAGAACATGCCTGGAGTTGCCTTAATGCATGGCCGAGTTTTCATGAGCACAAGGAATGACACTCTCTTGTGTGGGGGGAGGGGAGAGAGGACACTTAGGCTGCCAGGTGCCAGTGGCTTCACATGGGGAGTCTCTTGATCACAACAGCTCTAGAAGGAGATAGCATGGAATGATCTATTGCTTCCCACCAAAGCCTACTGCCATCCAGTTCATTTCAACTTATAGCAGCCTTACATACGGTTTCTTAGACTAAATCTTTATGGGAGCAGATAAACCTCATCGTTCTCCCATGGAGCAGCTATTGAGTTTGAACCACCCACTCTGCGGTGAACAGTCCAATGCTTAACCCACAGCTTTATCAGGGCTCCCTGATCTCATATAATGTCCAGAGAGTTAACCATCTACCCACAAGGTCTCACAGCTAGGAAGCAGGAAACTACGACCAGCCCAGGTGTGTGGGACCAGAGCTGCCTGTTTCTGTGCCGCCACTGCAGCATTTAGCCCGAGGCAACAGAAGTTGGGATGGAAAGAGGAATCAGGAGTTATGAGTTGTACTGAACAGTACATGTACACATTGTTGAATTGGTATGTGATCTTGTGTATATAGTTCACCAAGAATTAAATATTTTTTAAAAACAGCCATGGGCCTTTGGTTGTTTGAATGGGTGTATATTCTTGAGTGCTTTGGTGTACATCCAAAAAACAAACAAAACCTAGGGAATAGAAGCAAATGCTGTTGAATGATGATGCATGGAGGGGATTGTAGTCATTGCAATGAAACGAAATACAACAGGATGAATGTAAAGCTGATGTTCTCCCATGTAAACTATCACCCAATTCACAATAAAAACTTAAAAAAATAACAGCAGCCATGGGTTAGAAGGCAGAAGAAAATGTCGGAGTCGTGAAGGGTTAATGATGGATGTAGCCGAGGGCAGTCACTTGTGTTGGTGAAGAAGCTGGCAGGGCTTGAAGAGTTTGCAGGTCAGCAGAGCGCTACGTGAGAGTCAATCAGGAAACCAGGCTCTCTGCAGGGCAGACCTGGAGAGCTTGTCTGCACCTCTTCAATAGTGTGTGCCAGGTAGGAAGCCAATGGAGAAACAGAAAAGATGAAGAAACAGCAGTCAGGAGCAAAACGGAAATGAGAATCTAAGATGCTGAAAGCTAGTTAGTACCCTTGTTAAAGTTGCTGGTGGACATGGTGGGAGACAAGGTAAGGAGAAAAAAGATGAGCCAACTCTTGAAGTCTTCTAAGAAAATGGAAGTGTTAGGTCCCAGAGTAAAATGAACATTTTCAAAAATGTTTATTTTCACATTTAATCTCACAAGGGCAGTTTTATTCTTATTTTGTTGTGATTGTTATTAAGTGTCATTGAGTTGGTTCCAATTCATAGCGAACCCACCCTGTATAGGAGTTTCCAGGGAGCAACTGATGAGGTTGAACCGCTGACCTTGCAATTCAAACTGTGAATTCTTGTGGTCCGATGTTTATCCTATGCCAGAATTCTTATTTTACAGATGAGGAAACTTGAGGTTCCGAGGGGAAACGACTTGCTCAAGTGTACAGACAGTTAGTAAGGTGTGCACTGAGATGGAAGCCCCTACTGTCTGACTGCATACCTGTAGGTGAGCACCTGGTGTGGTGGTCAGCGCCGGGTGTAGTGGTCAGCACAGGCACTAGCCTGCCCTGCTTCTTCCCAAACCTTTCTCTTACTGGAGAGACAGAAGAGGGTATCAGGGATTTTGAGCCAGCCAGGGAGTATTGATAGCCACCACTTTCATTTTTCCAGTGGTTGATTTATCCCCATTTTATAACTGAGCCAACTGAGGCTCACCAAGGCAAGTGGCTTATCCAATGTTGTACTAGACAGTGGCGGAGTTCTGGCTAGAACCCAGGTTTCCCTCCCCACTGCTAGTCTTGGGTTCCTGATGGCAGAGGATAAATGAAATAAGTCAGGCATCCCAGACCAGACAAGTTAACTCTGGGTCACAGATCCTTTGAGAGAACACACTTCACTTCCAGCAGAATGGAATGGGAAGGGCAGGCTCCCATCCTAAGCTGTGTTGGAGGGTTTGGAGGCTGTGTTGGTGTAATTTTCAGGCACAATCAGCTTCCTGGCCTGATTCCCTCAAGATTTTTGCAGGTAGTGCTGGAGTCAGGGAAACCAGGCCTCCTTGTAAAGGCTGGAGCATGGCATTTGCAGGTCTTTTGTTTTTTATTCACAGGTACTTCACAGGCTGTTTGCAGTTATAGCTTCCAGGGTGAGGGTGCTGGGATGAGACCTCTGGCTCTGAGGTGGGGGCAGGGAGAGGTAGAATTTGTGAATCAAGTTTTCTAGAAGTAAAAGTTTAGCATTTGGGGACTCAGGTGAAATGAATGTACTGGGAAATGTTTTTTAATTTATTTTTATTGCAAGCTTATATCCCAGGAAAACAGTGGGAAAGACCCAGGATCCTGCCAGTAAGAAATCACTTGCTTTAATTTTCTGATTTGCCTTCCTAATGCTCATCCTTACAAAGCGTTTTTATATGACTGTAACTGTAATGATTATGATCGATTTACAATCTTGTCTCCTGCTTTTATCATTATATCATAAGAAGATGCCATCATGGGTTAAGCATTGGGTTGCTAACCAAAAGGTTGGTGGTTTGAACCCACCCACTGTTCAGTGGGAGAGAGATAAGACAGTCTGCTTCCGTAAAGGTTTATAACCTCGTAAACAAACCCTATGCTGGTAGTGTAGTGGTTATGAATTGGGCTGCTAACCTCAGGGTCAGCAGTTGGAAACTACCAGCTGTTCTGCGGGAGAAAGATGAGGCTTTCTGCTCCCGTGAAAATATATAGCCTCAGAAACCCTGTACAGGGTCGCTATGATTCAGAACCGACTCCACGGCACATAACAACAACAACAAACTCTATGGAGCAACTCTACCTTGTTTTGTAGGGTTGCTATACGGCAGAACTAACTTGATGGCAGTGGGTTTGATTTCTATCCTAAAAAGTTCCCTTCTGCATAATTACAATTTTAAGCAGCTAGTATACTTCTTTAAGGAGCTCTGGTAGCGTAGTTATGAATAGGGCTGTGGATCGTAAGGTCAGCAGTTCGAAACTACCAGCTGTTCCGTGGGAGAAAGATGAGGCTTTCTGCTCCCGTAAAGATTTACAGCCTCAGAAACCCTGTTAAGGCTCGCTATGGGTCGGAACCGACTCGACGGCACTTAACAACAACAACATATACTTGAGTGGATAAACCATGTTTTTCTTACCTAGTCATCTGTTGTTTTGTTTTTTGAGCATGTAGATTGTTTCTGGCGTTTAATAATAACTGGTTGCCATTGCCGTTAAGTGGCTTCAAACTCATGGTGACCCCCTATTTGTCAGAGCAGAACTGCATTCTCTAGGGTTTTCAATGGCTGTTTTGGGGGAAGTCGCTTGCCAAGTGCCTCTGAGGGGATTTGATCCTCCAAACTATCAGTCCACGGGCTACAGGGTATTAATATTTTTTCTATTAAAAGAGAGAGAGAGAGAGAGAGAGAGAATGAGATTAGAACTCTAAGATGAATTCTTAGGCATTTGGATTCCTGGATCAAAGAAATAGAGCTCTTCCTTTTTAAAAATTGGCTTTGGGGAATGATGAACAAATCCCTTAAAGGTACTTTTCTGACTATTGTTTTTACAAACCAGCAAACTGGCAGTGGATGGTTGGGCGCAGTGTCCAGGGCTGGCTGTGTTAGTCCTGTCCTACAGCCTCAGACTCCATGAGGGGTGAGGTGGTGCCTAGGAACTGGACACAGGCAGAGTCCAGCCACCTCGGATTTTCCTCCCACTGTAACAGGATTGGCCTGCTCAGCTCCCATCCTGTGTCCCTCCCAGATCCCTGGGGAGCCTCTTTACTGCTTGAGGGGCCCTGCAGAGCCAGGTGCTTCACACTTGCTGTCATTTGTTCCATAGCAGAGACCCCAGAGAGGAGGTTGCTATGGACTAAAATTTGCTGCTGTCTTTTCGATTCCAGCCTCATTTAGATTGCCTTTGAAGATTGATATCTGTTTCTCTCTTGCTGTCTTCCCAGGTTCCTCTGATTTCCAGACTCCTTGAGGCCTAAGAAGTGTTGTGGACAAAGTTCTCTACCACGGAGAAGAAATAGTACCCTGCTCCCTGGCTCTCCTTTGCTATGGATACCGAATCCACACATTCTGGATATTCTTACTATTCAAGTCATTCGAAAAAATCTCACAGACAAGGGTATGTAAGCTATTGATTGGCCCTGTTGTTTTTGTGGGGGAACTTTCAAATTGACCCTGATTTGCTTGACTTGTGACTTTCTTAACTCACTTTACTAAAAGCGGTTCCGGCTTAAGGGCTGTTGCTATCTGCAAGTCCATTGATGCCTGAGAAGCTGAGCTGTAAGACACTTAACATGCACTGGGAGTAACTACACCACCAATTTACATTTTATAGCCACCATTACAGTTGATGACCTTAATTTCTCACAATTAACTTTAAATTAAAGTTTCTCCCTGGAGTCTAAAATGTTTTTCATTTCTAAGTACTTCCCTTAGATGACAACTCTACCAAATCTTTACCAAAGATATAAGTGGAAAGTGTTAAAAAAGAGTATTGATTTTAGTTGTTTTTCACCCAAGCTGCTGACTCATTGTCCATTATGCATTTGGGGTTGGGGGTCGGGGGATTGAGCTGGTGGGATTGCCCTGGCCCCTTATTTCTCTCTGTTGAGTTTTACTGGTGAATAGGCCTGGGTTTTGAAAAGGTGGCCCTGGGTGATGCAGACCAACTCAACTTTACAGCCAAATTCCTCCTCCTCTGTTCTATGATGTTGTTGTTAAGTGCTGTCCCTCCAGTCAGTTCAGAATCATAGCGACCCTGTATAGGGTTTCTGAGGAATGGCTGAGGAGTTTGAACTGCCAACCTTTTGGTTCAAGCAAGCCTTGCGGTCCGGTGCTTTTTCCATATGGCAACATCATAGGCCTGCAGAATGTTTAGTGAGTAGAGCGGGGAGGGAGGGAGGAAGGAAGGATAAAAGGGAGGGAGGTGAAAAGCAGTGGTTCGATGAATGCAGTCCGTTAAATTTCAGTGCTACCACTCAGAGTCTCATCTGTGAAATGGGTACAATATTCTCCCTATAGTATTATTGAGTAGATTACATGTGATTACACAGGTAAAAAGGAGCCCCGGCAGTAGAGTTGGCTTTGAGTTGGGCTGCAAACCACAAGATTAGCAGTTCAAATCTACCAGCCACTCCAAGAGACAAAGATGAGGCTTTCTGTTCCCATAAAGATTTATAGCCTCCGAAATCCTGTGAATCAGAACTGACTCCTTGGCACACAACCACCACACCACCACCACCATGCACATAAAACAGAAACTCACCAGCAGCTCCACGAGAGTAATATGGACTGCCTGTTCCTGTAAAGATGTACAGAAATCCTAAGAAGCAGTCCTACTCTGTCCTCGCACGGTCCTATGAGTTAGAAAACACTTGATGACCTTGGGTTTGGTTTTTATACATGTAAAACAGTTAGTACAGCTCAGAGTTGGAAGTCAGTAAACAGTGGCTAAACTTTAGCATCATGTTGGTAGCACAAGTTGGCCCCAGCCCGAAGGGAAAGGTCATGCCACTCTAGGCACACCTTTAGCCACAACTCAGGGGAGTCACTTACTAAGCACTTCCCTGTATAAGTATTTGAGTAGGGGGTTTGTTTTGTAAAACGACAAAAAGTTATGTATCACTAATTTACTTATTCATCTGCATATCTCTTGGATGTACACACACAGAAAAAGATCTAGAAGGGTATTCTTCTTCTTCAAGATGCCTGGAGTGGTCAACCGCAGGGAAGGGGTTTAGTAGAAGACAGTGACTGACTTTGCTTCTGTATTGGTTCAGTTTTCCACAGTTTGTATTTTGTAATAAAACAAATGGAATCAATGACTATGAAGGATGACTTTTCAAGGGTTCATTGATGCCATGAGTAAACGTTCCTGAGATCAGGTTACAAAAAACAGGACTCAAGACTTTGCACATTACATTGCTATTGTTGTTAAGTGCTGTTGAGTTGGTTCCAACTGATAGCGGCCCTGTATAGGGTTTCTGAGGAGCAGCTGGTTGGTTTGAATTGCCAACTTTATGCTTTGCAGTACATTGCTTATCTATTGCATATATATGTTGTTGTTGTTAAGTGCCATCAAGTTGGTTCCAAGAAGCAGCTAGTGAGTTTGAACCACCAACCTTGCAGTTAGAAATCCAGTGCTTATCCTACAGCACCACATCATACACACACACGTGTGTGTGTGTGTGTGTGTGTGTGTGTCTGTAGAAGAAATTTTGGTGTGATGCTATAGGATATGCAGTGAACTGCTAACCACAGATTGGTTCAAACCCCCCAGTTGCTCCAGTAACCTTACGCGGTGCTTCTGACTCAATGGCGCACAACACAATAACATATATATGTCTGTCTGTCTGTCTGCCTGCCTGCCTACCTACATATCTATCTATCTATATAAAGATAAATATCAACATATTGACCATAGCTCTTGAGTATGGAATAAGGGAGGTTCTACTTTAAGCTGCCATTATTTTCTAAATTGCTCTTGTAAAAATTGGGGGAAGGGATGTAATTGAGCCTTGCTAGAACCCCCCAGGTGAGCCTTTCTAGTCAGGATGGGAATGGAAAGGACTCAGGTGTAGGCAAGGTTGACAGTGCTTATGTTCTTGCTGTTGTTAAGTGCTGTCGAATTAGTTCCGACCCATAGCGACCCTAAACAGGGTTTCTGAGGCTGTAAATCTTATGGGAGCAGAAAGCCTCATCTTTCTCCAATGGAGCAGCTGGTAATTTTGAACTGCTGACCTTGTAGTTCGCAGCCTGATTCATAACCACTACGCTACCAGAGCTCCGTGACAGTGCTGATGAGTGGGGCCTAAAGTCACAAACCAGAGCCAGAATCTTGAGAAAGAAACCCTCTGTTGGTGAAAATTTAGCCACAAATTTAACCAGTGGGTAAACGCATCAGATTAATGTGAAGTACCAGAAACAGTGGTTTTGAAATACCAACTCTTTGGACCTGACAGGAAAAAACAGTTCCCTTGTCAATGTGCCAGGCTCCCGTTGCCCATACCACAGTGACAGAAGTAGGAACTGGGGATACTGTGGAGCTAGCTTGTGGGTGAATGGAGGAGGATTCTGGGAGGGAAGCATTACTGGCTGGCAGTCGCTTCAGGGCCTATTGCTACTCTCTGTTGTTTCCTCAGGCCTCTTGGGGCCTCCAGAAATTGATACTCCAGTGCTCTTGTGGTAACTTTAAGAGACTATAACTTTCAATTAAAACAGAATGCAATACTTAGTGCCTTCTTGGGCCAATGTGGAAAGTGCTTGGCAAACAATAATACAGGCTGAGACTTTAAATCAGTTAGCAGAGAAATATTATTGAATGCCTACTTCTCAGTCAAGCTCAGATGAGCATTAGAGTTAGAGGTGCACTCTATGGGTTCTTAAAACAACAACCAACCAAACAGAACCCATGCATGATAGTCCTATGACTGAAGGGATGACCCACACTTTGACACAAATTCCATAAGTGGGTGCCTTTCAAGGAACAAAAAATTATTTTTTGTGGTTCTGGAGGCTAAAAGTCCAAATCAGGTTCTTAGGCCAGGTGGAGTCTTTCCTTGTCATTCGCCCCCAACACCTTTCTTGGTTCTTTGGCTTTTCTTGACATGACATCTCTCCCTTTCTCCCCTAACACACACCTTTCCTGTGGCTTTTCTGATCTTTTTATAACTCAGAAATGGTTAGGTTTAGGATCCACCCTAGCCTGGCCACATTAGCATAACAAAGAAAACCGGGTTTTCCAAATAGTATCATATCCACAGGTTCAAGGGCCAGGAATTCAACACATTTTCTATTTTTTATGCTCATTGGGGGAGTTTACAATTCAGTCCATAAACAGTTTCAAAAATGGTATGGAGGACCATGTCTGACTTCCTCTAGCTTCACAAGAGGGGAGGAGAATCAAATTCAAAATCAGCCTAAAGCCAACTCTTATGAAGTGAAGGTCAGACATGCCTCCCCACCCAACAACCTTCTTACCCTATTCTGACACCAACCATTCCTCCCACAGCACTCTCTGCTTCATGTCTGGGTTCTAGAATCTGTTGTGGTGCCCGCTCAGAACTCATAGACAATACTCACGATTATGGAGTTAATTAGGGGAGTGAAGAGGGTAAAATTCAGGATCAGAAACAATTCAGGATGCAGAATAGAGAACCTAGTCAGGAACACCTCTTTTCTGCCATATTGCAGGCACACCTCTCAGCCTTGTGGCCCCTTGACCTCTGCCCTCTTGGCAAGTGTTAAAAATCTCCTTTACCTTGTCTCCAAATGCCCAAAGGGCACATTCTGCAAGCCAGCCTCCTGCCTGTGGGCACTCAGCTTTACTAGGTCCATGGGCTGGGAAGCCCGTGGCTGTATTGTCTCTCCATGTCACCACCTCTGCCACCTCGGCTTTTCCAGGTAGGGATCTCATGCCCCACTCTTGGCTCTTCTTTCTTGATGGTCCTGCGATCATCTGTTCCTGCCTCTGTCCCTCTCTTTAAACCTACACGGGATGGCAAAACTAACCATTCCCAGTGTTTGAGTCCTATACACCCTATTTGCATGGTCCCACTTTTGGTGGACATTAAGAAGACTTTGCTTAGATAAAAGGGACATACCAAGTAAATCCACAGTACCACACAGTGATTATATAGTGTAAAGGATGAAATCTATAGATTATATGTGCATTTAATACGTGGTTGGAGCCTCCTATGAATATTAAGCAGTAACACGAGTACTTATCAGCAGGCTGTGTACAGGTCCCTAGACCCAGCCAAGTGTATTGTATCACCCAAGAGTGTTCCTGTTAAAGCTACTTGGCTTTAATGATATAGTAGGCATTTTTTAAATGGTACTTTATTGTGTTTTCAGTTAAAGTTTACACCGCAAATGAGTTTCCTCTTGGACAGTTTCTGCACAAATTGTTCCTTGACAAAAGTTACGTTTTTAGCAATGTGTCCACGTTCTCTTCAATTATATTCTAGTTGTTTCATCTATAGTGTACTCTAGTTTCCCAACCCCTTGTCTTCTCATCTTTGCTATAGAGTAACTGTTGACCTTTTGGTTGTGTCAGGAATTTTAATGGAAGAGTAAGAAACAGGGAGGGCCTTGCTTTTTGGTAATTTTAGTAGAAAT